CAGCTGCTCATGGAGACGGCATTACAGCCCTCCACTTCGGCGGCACCGTCTGCCTCCGTGCGGAGCGCCCCGGCATCGGTGCGGGAACCGGCGTCGGCGGGTCACCCGAAGCCCACGGCACCGACCCAACGGGGGCATGTACGACGCCGGTCGTCTTCGCCGGCAAAATCGAAGGGCCAACCTAAGGCCCGAGGACGCTCCCCGCACAAGAGGGCGGCGCCGGTGAAGACCTCGAGTGCGCCTAAGGCCTGTACGGCCCCAGCACAGACCCCGGGAGTGGCTCCGGCGCCGAAAGGCCCGTCGAGCCCCGGGATGGGCGCGTCGAGTGAAGATGAAGGGCTGGAGGAGCTCTTGGAACAGCCCTCCACTCCGGACATGTTTGAGGCAGCTAAGGACCTCATTGCATTGTCCGTCGAGGCCCCTACACGCGCTAAGGACGCTCCGGCGAAGCTGCCACACAGAGGCAAGCCGGCGATGGTGCGCCCATCACGGTCGCCGTCTCGGCACCGTTCCGGGAACCGGTCCCGGTCGAGCTCCGCCTCGGTGGACTCCCGGTTGCCCTCTGCGCAGGAAGCACCGCAGCAGTCGGGCTTCAACAAGCGGTCGGCACCGACTCAGTAACCCAGCACGAGTCGGCACCGCGAAGTGTCGGCGGTACGTTACCCGATGCCGACCAGCCGTAGTCGTTCCCGGTCCCGCGATCACCGGTACCGATCCAGGTCCAGGTCGGCGAGACGCTGTTCCAGGTCCTGGTCGCGGAGGCGCTACTCCCCAAACCCGGACCGGCACCATCCTACGGCTCCGCCGTGGCCTTCCAGGTCACCGTCCGTGGTCTCGGGGACTGACTCGGACCGGTACGGCGGGTATGCCCATAGGGCGCAGGCCAGCAGGGTCTACGAAGCCTATGGCCATTCCCAGTGGGGCCAACCAAGCCAATGGCCATTCTGGACACCCTGGGCCTACCACCAGCAAAGGCCCCCATCGAGGGCCTCGAGATCCGGGCCATCGGGGTACCGATCCCACTCCCCGCGGCACCGCCCGCCATCGCATAGGAGGCAACGGTCTCTAGACCACCGGAGCGGGAGGGAGTGGACTCGGCACCGAGCACGGTACCGTCCCAGTCCCACACTGTGGGTCAGGCCCCAGAGGAGCAACCGGTCGATGCCGGGTTGCAGGACAATGAGGATGGGCAGAAGGCCCCGACCTCTTCCTCCTCGCCGGACGAGGCAGTAGCGGGCACGACAGTGTCTGGCCCTCCCCCCATTGACCCTCGGGCGGCACAAGGACTGGT